GACCAATCTTCACGACATTTTGCATGTAGGATGGGTTCTGCCGAATGAAGGATCCTATTGTTTTTGGTAAAGATCGGTTATTATTTAGGGGATGAAATGGACCAAATACTTAATTTTTGTCGGTTTTTCTGGTCTCTTCAGAGGCCGCAATTATGGCCCAAACATCGCGATTTTTGCATGGAGAAGGGGATCGGGCCAAAGAATAAGCATGCCTGTTTTGATGAAGATCGGTCAATATTTAGCGCGTCAAATGGACCCTGACTTTTGTGTGAGAAATGACAAAATTTGTATTATATAGCGTATATATTTACTCCTGAAAGACATAGACCCGAGAAATTGATAGTATATCCTAGAGGAGTGGTTTACCTTTAAATTGATACCAATTATATTGTCGGATGTGCCCAGATATGGGAGTTATACATAATAAGGTAAATGTGACGATGTGCATTGTATTACCATTAGAGGACTGAAATGTCGCGCTGATCGCTTTGAAATTGTAAAGGATGTTCCGATTATGGCCATGGGCGACGCCTATAGTTTTCGGCGAAGTTAAGATTTCATTCAGGGGGTGCAATGAACGGAAAACTTTAATTTTGTCAGATTTTCTAGTCGCTCTAGAGGCAATTATTATATGCAGAACATCGCATATTTTACAAGGTGAAGGGATGTGACTAAATACTTAGAGCGGCTTTTTAGATGATGATCGGTCAATATTCCGAGGGTCAAATCAAACAAAACCTAAAGTGACCAGTTTTTTATTTATGGCGTAAATTTTCACTTCAAGAAAAAATGGAAAATATTCCTGGGTTAGAAAGTGGAGCTGATAACCTATAATCGATCAAGGTTGCAAATATCACGAAATATTGCCCAGTTTCAGAATATAGAACCGCAGAAAGTTAGAGTTCCGTGGTAGTTGTGTAGGGTATCATATGGTCGGCTGCGTCCGACTATACTGCTCCGCTCACTGGTTTTTACAATATTATTATTGCGCACATTTTAGATGTGTATATCGACTAAGCTTTTCGCATTTCAAAACTTAAGTGTCTGTAAGTTTCCATTCTGGGAACTTGGTGGGTTTCATGATGGTTGATTCATGATTCATTCGATGTTTTGTCCCAAACTCTCATATATGTATATCGAGAGACTTAGGTGATATCTTCAAATGGCATTCCGAAAAGTGAAAAGCATCGTGACGGAAAAAATTTTATATAGGTCCATGTTTAACATATACTTCATTTAAAAGTCCAGCCCAAAATTTATTTTATGATTCTATGCTAATCTTCCAAGCGTATATATACCTTCTTCCAAACAAGACATGATTTATGTTCGATATATTTAAGATTTATATTTTTCAATACTTCAACAAAAATGCTGATTATTATCTATAAATTATTTTTCGGATGCAGTTTCATCCAAATTATATCCAATTGTTGAGTTTTTTTTCATAGCTGGTTTGTATTTCATTAACTTTGTTTAGCTTTCGACATGCAAATGTATATAAACGCTATGGCGTGAATCACAATGGACAATCTTTATTTTTCGTTTTTTTTTTATTTTTTTTTGTGGATATAGTATTTCTTGTCAGACAACTAATCGCATTAATTAATAAATAAAATATGTGCATATTTATTTATATAATATAATGGTTTTTCAATAGAATATTCCACAAGAACAAAAGCCGGTTAGAACTGTTGAAGGAAGTTTTAAATAGCCAAATGTATGTGTAGCATATATATTTTGGTTTATATCCTAAATATGGTATTTGTAAACTAACACCTTTTAGGTTATTGCATTTGAAAATATACAGAAATTTGAGTTCATACATAGTTAAAATTTGTACAAATATATAATAATTATAAGAAGAAACAGCATTCCCAATAACTGCATTCTACTGGGAGTTATGACAGCATAACAACAACCACATAACAAGTTAATAACAACATGCTAATTTTGATGAAATAAAATAAATATATTAAAATATTATTGATTCGCTAAAACTTAATATGGCGGTGACAAAAAGACTGAAAAGAATTTGGATAGTCTGATTAAGAAGAGGGTTTGTCCTAGTAGACAAACATCCGCAGAGTCGGTACCAAATTACATATAAAATTACAAATTAAATATTTTCTAAGTGGTTATTTATACTCTTTCGAGTCGAGCTTGATGATCTAAGTTTTGCAATGAAAAGGAAATTCACTGCCCTTACAAAGCAAAATTCAAATAACATTAAACATTTTCTTATAAAAGCGAATTATGATGGAAGTGCAGCCAAAACTTTTACAAACGATATACGTTATTAGGATTTTTATACCCTACACAACTATGTTGTCAGGGTATTATAGCTTTGTGCAGCCCCAAAAGTTTGTAACGCCGCGAAATATTGGTCTTAGGTCCACCTTTAAGTATACCGATCGTCATATCTCGACTAGCTGAATCGATTTAGACATGTGTGTCCGTCCGTCCTTCTGTCCATTATAATTTGTAAACACGATACAGGCTACAGTTATGGACCAACCAAATAGGACGGGTTCTGGCGAATGAAGACCCCTATTGTTTTTGGTGAAGATCGGTTAATATTTAGGGGATGAAATGGACCAAGAACTTTATTTTTGTCTGATTTTCTGGTCGGTCCAGAGGCCGCAATGATGGCCCAAACATTGCAAATTTTTACATAGAGAAGGGGATCGGTCCAAAGAATAAGGATGCCTGTTTCCATAAAGATCGGTCAATATTTAGCGGGTCAAATGGACCCTGACTTTTGTGTGGAAAATTACAAAAATTTGTATTCTGGGGCGTATATATTTACTCCTGAAGGGCATAGACCCGAGAAGTTGAGAATATATCCCAGAGGAGTGGTTGGTCTTCAAATTGATACCAATTACATTGTCGTATGTACTCGGATGTGGGAGTTATACTTAAATACTTACAGGTGTTTAAATATTATTTAGTAACCCATTACCACCCTAGAGTGCCAAAATATAGCGCTGATCGCTTTGAAATTTTCCATGACGATCCAGGTATGGTCAAGGACAACGCCTATAATTTTCGGTGATGATTAGATAATAATATTGGGATAAAGTGGACCGAAAACTTTATTTTGTTTTTTTTTTTGAGTCGATCTATAGGATACAATTGAAAGCCGAAAATAACAACACAACCCACGGTGAAGGTCAAGAGAGGGCAAAAATTGTCCAAGATCAGAATATAGAAACACATAAAGTTAGATTAGATTGGTCGGCCCCTCCGACTATACTGCTCCGCTCACTGGTTTATTTGTAGGTTTGGTACGATATTACGATATTCATTCAATGGATCAAATCGGGTACTCCATCCGGCGTTGATCTTATTATTCACGTGACCTTAAATAATGAAGTCTCGGCATCCAATAGTTATCAATTCTTCGAGAGAAAAAATACGGTCTGAGGAAAGAGCAATTGTTTTTTTGCTCATCGTCCTAGATGATAAGTAGTGCCATCTTGAGACCTAGTACCATCTTGTTGAAAGCTAATATTGCCTAGATCCATACCAACTTACTTCTATCATAAAATTAATATTATTCATATGGCAATTTATACACCTTAACAGTTGATGCAACCTTTTTTCAAAAAGTACTCCCAATATTTAAGTTTACATAGACGAATACGAAACTAAATCCCTACTACTTCTAAATTAAATCCCGTCTGATATCCGTGAAGTTTTGTTGAAATCTAAATTTTTTGAAAGCGATTCAGGCTTAGATATAGCATCCATATATATCTCCATCCGATTTAATCTAAATGGTGTTACAAATAACTAAAGCTTTTCCGATTAGGACAAGTTTCAACACAACGTACCAAATTGGAGCTACTATTGGATTTTATAACATAACCTATGTTTATTTCGTCTGATATTCGTCTAATTTCATGCAATTTGTGTACCAAATAATAAATGTTTTTCCTAGCGAGATAAAAAAGTGGACAGTACACTTTGCTGCAGCATACAACATGCTGTATGCAACGATTGCTCAAATTGATCCGGATTTTGCTCGTTTTCATACACCAAAAAATCCAAGTCTGTCCGCTTGAAATCCATTTTTTCACAGATATAAGAATAGTTTTATTGTTTGAAATATCTATCTTCAATTGTAATATATATATATATATATATCATATAGTCGGCTCGTCCGACTTGGACAGGCATTTTTGAATCAACTCCCAATTATCTGAATCGTATTTGGACCAAAAACAACCAAAACAATCGATGTTTATACGAACTTATACTCGAACGATTCAGCCCAAATAATGCTCTGTCAGTTTCGTTTGCTGGGTTAGTCAACAGCAACCCACACCAACATAGTATTCAAATGTATTTGTTTAGCAACTACAATTCTAAAATAAAGTTCTTAATCTAAATTTTCATCCGAACATTTACCTCTAAATAACCAGCTCAAGGTTAAGGTTATGCGGCAAAAAACTGGTTCCCATATCTCGGTATAACCTAATTAAATTCATTATCAAATTACAATCCTAGCTAATGTATTACAGACATAAGTAACAAACGCGAGCATAATTAACGCTAACCTCCGGTCAGGGGTTATAAAGTTATGAAAAAAACCCAAAAGTCCGAAGATGTACAAAAAACAAAATAGTTTAACGGTAATTTAAACTAATAACAAAACAGGTGATAACGAATAAATCTTGTCAGCACGAACATAACTGCCGGAGGGTAATTAAGTCTATGCATAACTAATGCCAACAACAAAACGGACATGGAGCAGGTGATATATCACTATCGTGTGTGTTTCTTAGCCTTCTCTTTATTTCGCTTAAAGCAGCTTCTTGTTTTTTTTTCCTTTTTGACTGTATTCCGTTTCCCACAGCGATAATTGGTGGATGCTATCTTGGCATCAGGGCTATTATTTCTTTGACACTATAACGCAATCTTTAGCTCCTCTTTATGACTGTATAAATTGAAAGAAGTTTTGATTAGTGGCATCAATTTCGTTTGAGCAACGATCCAACATGAAGGTGTGTATTGGCGTCAAATCGCATTTTTTTGTTGTTCCTGAGAAGGACATAGTTGGTTTAAATAAAATGCCTAACACCGTGGATTATAGGTTTTATTTGACGACGATGTCCTTTGCAATTGACAGATTTCAATTCGTGTTTAATCGTGAAATTTTGAATTTGATAGGTTTTTGTATGTTTACTGGCGATTTGTGCCGTTGCCAATGCTGGTTTCTTATTTGGAGGCGGTAGTGGCGGATTAGGCGGTGGCCATGGTGGCGGATTCGGTGGTGGCCAAGGAGGTGGATATGGCGGCGGACACGGAGGTGGTTATGGTGGTGGTTATGGCGGCGGCCATGGAGGAGGCTATGGTGGTGGTGCATCATCAGGTGGCACTACTGTCATTAAAATCATCTCTGATGGTGGCGCTGGAGCCGGTGGTTATGGTGGCGGCTATGGCGGTGGAGCCGGTGCTGGTGGTTATGGTGGCGGTGCTGGTGCTGGTGGTTACGGCGGCAGTTACGCTGGTAGCTATGCTGGTGCTGGTTCTGGAGGTTATGGCGGTGGTTACGGTGGTGGCTACGCTGGAGCTTCATCCGGCGGCTCCGTTAAAGTTTTTAAGGTTATCACCGTAGGTGGCGGATCCAGCGGTTTCGGCGGTGGAGCCGGTGGCGGTTATGGCGGTGGTGCCGGTGGTGGTTATGGCGGTGGTGCCGGTGGCTGGTCCAGCGGTGGTGCCGGAGGTGCTGGCGGCTGGGCTGGTTCCGGTGGTTGGTAAATGTATTATGTAACCTGATCTTGTTGTTAAAATAAAAAAATCGACAGTTATAACTATGAAAAAAAATTTTCATTTGTATCGAATTTATATTTGAATCTTGCCATTCATTAATCGACAGATTTTACCATTATATATGTTCCACCATGAAGGTTGTTTCTCAGTTGTAGTGTCAGTTTGTAGTGTCCTCTAACATTTGGTGTGAATTCAAAATTCCTCAATCAGAAGAGACCTCAATCAGAAGAGAGGACAAGAACCGATAATTCCAAATTAAATCCACATTTCTGAGCAAATGCGACACAAAACCTTCAAAGCACCAAAGGCGGTATAGGAGCTATTTCAAATCATAGTGCCATTTCAAAAATTGTCTGCAGAGATTCCGTGGGAAATTCGGTTAAAACCTCCCGCATACAGTAAATGGGTGGGGCCTTTATTAAAACATGAACCCACCTCGTAATTTTCCAGCATAGAGTTTTTTCACCCTCTAAAAACCCGTAATGCTAAATTGAAACCACTTCGGTGTGAAAAACTTAGCGAATTGTCAACACATGGACCTATATTAAAAAAATTTATTGGATAAGTGTTTTATTCACTACGAAAGCGGAATGCAAATGGTAGTCAATACTCTATTTTCACCCTGCAAGAACAGATAATTCCAAATTAAATCCACATTTCTGAGAAAATATGACACAGAACCTTCAAAGCACCAAGAATTGGGCGGCATCTTCATACAGAGGATATTTCAAACCAGACGGCCATTTCTTCAAACCAACTCCACATCGTAATTTTCCTGCATAAAGCTTTTTCACTCTATAAAAACCCGCAATCCTAAATTAAAGCCACTTCGGTGTAAAAAACTCAGCGAAGTACCAACACATGGGGTGGGACCTTTATATAAGAGTTACCTCAAAACAGAGTCCCATATCGAAAAACAGTAAGGAATGTAGTAAAGTCGGACTGGTCCGACTATACATATGTATAGATATGTATCCTAACAGACGTGTTTTTGTTATATATCTATATCTGTACCGATTTCAGGGAAACTTGAAAGAGACTAATTTATATTACTTCAATACGTTGTGTCAATCTAGACTTAATTCAGTACCCTCTACCAAAATGCACCAATTACATAAAAACGGACGAAAATACATATCGGGACTATATCTAAATCTGAACCGATTTTCATGAAACTTAGCACACGTCATTCTAGCCTTAATTCAATACGCTATGACAAATTTCGTGCAAATCGAATGATTTTCAGAGACTTTGCTTCACCAATTACCTAAAATCGGATGAAAATATATATGGGATCTATATCTAAATCTGAACCGATTTTCACGAAAATTAGCACACATTATTATATACGCAATTCAGTACGCTATGCCAAATTTCGTGCAAATCGAAAGATATATAGGGTCTTTGGTGCACCAATTACCTCAAATCGGAAAATATATAAATATGGGAGCTATATCTAAATCTGAACCGATTTTCATGAAACTTTGCACACATCATTCTAGACTTAATTCAGTACGCTGTGCCAAAATTCGAGGAAATCAAAACATTTTCAAGGGACTTTAGTGGACTATTTAACTAAAATCGAAAATATATATGGGAGCTATATTTAAATCTGAAACGATTTTCACGAAACTTTGCACACATCATTCTAGACTTAATTCAGTACGCTGTGCCAAATTTCGTGCAAATCGAAAGATTTAAGGTACACCATTTACCTTAAATCGAAGGAATATATTTATATATATATGGGAGCTATATCTAAATCTGAACCGATTTTTCCCAATTTCAATAGGGTTCGTCCTTTGGCCAAACAAATGAGCTGTGCCAAATTTCATCTAATTGGGATCATAAATGCGACCTGTACTTTGTTTACTATTTAACATGGACAGACGGACGTCCATAAATCGACTCAGAAAGTGATTATATGCATATTCTCAAAAGGAACCATGGGTCTATCTCGATTATTTTTGCCTGTTACAAACATATGTACAAAGACATATCACCACAGTGTGGTGAAGGGTATACTTATGCCAGTTACAACTATGGGAAGGTGAATAGGAATCTATTCTACAATCGATTATTGGTCGAAAAATAACGGTAATCTGATTATTAAGATTTTATTGAATATTAATAGATATGTACATAGTTCCTATATAATATTTTTGTGATCTATTTTATAAAAATGATTCGTCTATTTTGTTGCAATTATTAAGCATGTAGTCATCCCATATTACATTTAATAAAATTCAAAGGATGGTACAGAATAGCATATAATCGGTTTTAGGCGGCTTTAAACCTATATGTTTTAATATTTACATGAATGTGTTTATTTTTAACATATTAAGGTTATATTGTAAAGTCGACCCCACTTAATGTAGCGTTCTTATCTTCATTGTTTATATATTTCTTAAACTTGTTTACCAAGGTAAACCTCTGCTAATTGTTTATTAGAAAGCAAAAGTAAAGTAAAAGACTAAACATAGGAAACATTAATAGAAAATACTAAACACACCAATTAGGCCTAGATAGACCACTTAAATAATTAATCATCACATCGGAAATGAGCATAGCAAAATTAAAATTTAATAAGTCGTGGCCCAGTAGCATCGGAAGACGAAGATAAAAAATTAGCATATTTAATGTTTTGTTTTATTATATTTGTAGTTCTTGTGCGCGTTTTTCAACCGAATACGCTGAAATTTGGTACATTGGGTTCTTATTGGGTACTAAATGTCTCCACAAGAAATTATAAATATAGGTCCACTTTTTCTGGTACCTCCTAATTTTTAGTATTTTGGGATATTGATCGTCTTTTTCCACCGAATTGGCTATAATTTAGTATTTAGTTCTAAATCTCTCCACAAAAAATTATGAATATAGGTCCCCTCATATAAAAGTACCTCCAATTTTCGGTATTTTGGGGTTCTTGAGCGCGTTTTTCTGCCGAAATCTCCCCACCAAAATTATTCATATTCGCCTTCTTTTTGGGGTAGTCCCCAAATAACCCCCTTTTTATACCCTTCACCACACCGTGGTACAGGATATTATGTCTTTGTGCATATGTTTGTAACAGGCAAAAGGAAACGAGATAGACACATGGTTCCTTTTGAGAATATGCGTAGAATCACTTTCTGAGTCGATTTACGCATGTCCATCTGTCCGTCCATGTATTTTTGTGAACAAAGTACAGGTCACATTTATGATCCGATTTGGATTAAATATAGCTCCCATATATATTTTCGTCCGATTTAATGTAAATGGTGCACCAAAGTCCCTATATATCTTTCGATTTGCACGAAATTTGGCACAGCTTAATGAATTAGGCCTAGAATGATGTGTGCGGAGTTTCATGAAAATCGGTTCAGATTTAGATATAGCTCCCATATATAGTTTCGTCCGATTTTATGTAAATGGTGCACCAAAGTCCCTATATGTCATTAGGTCTAGAATAATGTGTGTTAAGTTTCCTGAAAATCAGATTTAGATATAGCTCCCACATATATTTTCGTCCTATTAAATGTAAATGGTGCAAAGCGAATGATATATAGAGTCCCTATATTCGATTTGCACGAAATTTGGCACAGCGTAATGAAGTAGGTCTAGAATGATGTGTATTAAGTTTCGTGAAAATCGGTTCATATTTAGATATAGCTCCCATATATATTTTCGTCCAATTTAAAGTAAATGGTGTACCAAAGTCCCTTTATATCTTTCGGCTTGCACGAAATTTGGCACTGCGTAATGAATTAAGTCTAGAATGATGTGTGTTAAATTTCCTGAAATCGTTGAAATCGGTTCAGATTTAGATATAGCTTCTATATCAGACCAAATGAAAAATTAGTATAGGTTGCAGAATGACATGTTTATAGATCCAATTTCATTTTGCTGGTCCTTTAAAAATGCGACGTTTGTTAGGATTCATCTGTTGAATATACCCAAAGTGGTGAAGGGTATCATATAGTCGTCCCCGTCCGACTTTACTACTTTCCTTACTGGTGTCGTAATCATTTAACCTGCGGAGGATATCGAAATAAAAAACTAGAACGTAAGGTTCGATAATGATCTATATATGAACTATAACCCACATTAAGCCCTGTGTGGGAGGTACCAGAAGGAGTGGACCGATATTCCCTATCTTCGAACTTGAACTAAGTTTGGAAGAAATAATAAGATTGGCAATGTTAGGATGAAATCAAAGGAACATACTCATATCTTTCTGCAACCTAAGATAAATTTAATTTAATTCGGGCAGATATAGAGTCGTCTGGGTACCATGGGGCAAATTTATGGAAAACGATTTATAGCAAAATTGATACACGCTATTCGGTACGCCGCACTGTTAAAAATTTAATTTCAATCAGACACCCGTTCGAAATACATATGGAAGCTATGGCTGCATCTGGACCAATTTCAACAAAACGTAATAATGTCATTCAAATCTCAATTTGATACGTTGTGCAAAATTTCTGTTAATCTGACAAACATCTGAACCGTTTTTCCCGAAACTTACCACACATCATTCTAGACTCAATTCAGTACGCTATGCCATATTTCGTGTAAATCGAAGGATATATAGGGACTTTGGAGCACAATGACGCTATGTAAAATTTACATAAAATCGGACGAAAATATATGGGCAATATTGCCAATTTTTTAATATTCCATTTTCAAAAAATCGGCTTTTTTGTTTTTGTGGCACATCAATGATTTTTGGTACACATATGGAGAAAAATGTTCTGACTCCGAAACCGTTCGCGATCAAATTTTTGGTTGATGCGCGCAAAAGTTATCGAGGTTTTTATTTTGGGCATAAGAAAAAAAATCTTAAAATTACGCCGTTTATTATATTGACCAAAAACGTCGATATATATCTTCTTCCGTAAAATAAGAATATGAATATATTATAATAATCGCGAAAAAGTTGCACATCTTCACGAAATATGAGAAAAATAATAAAACTATAGGAGATTACGTCAATATTTTCATTATATTAGTGACATACACACACCTAAAAAATAATTTAAAAATATCTACATAATCAAAACACCATGATGAATCAAATGATATCAAAATCACACAAGTCTGTGTAGCGGTTTGTAAATTACACCGACAATAAAACAAGATATTGAGGAAAAATATTTGTTTTTGGTTCGAAGAAATAATGTCATCACATTTATTTTTTAATTTTATACAAGAAATTTCAGAAAAAAAATGTTGGGGTTATTCTTATATTTTACCCGAATTTCGCCGAAAAATTGCCATATATGAAAATAATAACTTCATGTGTATAAGTATACACCTTGCGGATTGTACCAAGACCCTTCCGATAAATCTTGGGGTTCTGTTAGTAGAAATAAATCTTAAAATAAAACTATATTATGAAATATACATTTTAAATTGCGTCTAAATCGCGTAATTATCAAAATCATTTGATGCGCATGCGGTTTCCAGGAAGTACTGAAGTTTATCTTCCAATCCATATATATTTTGCGAAATTTCATTTGACGGCTAAGATGTGCCACATGTTGCATTGAAGTACCCAAAAACTCGTAAAACGTGAATAATTTCCGAAAACTCCATATGCCATTAACGCGTATCCGATTTCGGTGTGCACCCTAAAAAAATACATCGATCTATACCGATTTCAATGTGGTCCATTAAGAACCATGGATGTGCCAGCTCATACTATTTTTGAGATAAATTGGGTACATCTCTCTTTCGGCTGAAGTTTTTAAAGTTCTCTTTTCGAAAAAGATCAAAATCCGTATGAGGTCATTTATTGAAGCGGAAATGATCCACAGAAAACGCAAATAAATCCGCGATATTTTCAAAAACATTTGTTGCTAAATTTCGTGTTTTTGGAAGGCCAGTTCCCTCCGTTCTAGTAAATGGATTTTCACGAAGAAAATTTTATATCATCCGAAACGTAAAAAACTTTATTGATCGCGGGTACCCATATCGAGCTTCAAAATGTCAGCATCATTTAAAGGTAGATGCAGTTAAAATTTTAGAAAAATGATACATAAGGGGCGTAGTCCCCATTTTGTTGGCTTCTAGTTTTACTTTGACACGAAGATCGTGAAATGAGTGGCTTAATCACAAATCGATAGAGAACATAAAAAAACTGGTTCGCCTCTATCTGTTTTTACACATTTTTTACATTAAAATAGACACAGCTTCCTCCAAAATAAAGTTTGGTGGTCAATATCATGAACAGGTTGCAACGACAGATCAATTAACCCAAAACTATTTACTTTTTTTCATATACTTAAGTATTTCCCGAGTTATAAAGGGGCGAACCTCCGCTTCAGCTATGTTAAAAAATTGGCAATATTGCCCATATATGGAAGCTATATCTAAATCTTAACCGCTTTTTACGAAATTTAAGACTCACCATTCTAGAATCAATTTATTACGCTATGCCAAATTTCGTGTAAATCGAAGGATATATAGGGACCGTTTACATTAAATCGGTCGAAAATATATATGGGAGCTATATCTAAATCTGAACTGATTTTTCCCAATTTCAATAGGATTAACTTTTTCCGTCCGATCGTTTTGAAAACATATATTCTAATTAGTTGTCCAGATTTCTTCCCCACCACACTTTTATACAAGAATTGTTCTAAGAATCATTATAAACCTGAACCTATTTGAAAAACACCTCAGTCGGTAGAATATGCAAAATGTCGTGTCAATTGGACCTTTGCACCATTTGTATGAAAGCGGATGAAATTATATGAAAAAGCTATCTAAATGTGTTGAATTCTCAATTTGATAGCTCGTGCAAAATTTCATCACTACAACTTAATGTAAAACTTCGTAATGATAGGTTTAATTACAATTTATAGTGGATGGGCACATAGCTTAATCAATTTATTTAATAAAGATCCGATTAGGATCACGCATTTTTGGCTTCTGAAGTAGGTTATTACATGTTCGGCTCTGACCACTAAATACCTTTGCTTGAACCTTGTCATCTTACCCAGCTTTGTAATTAATATCATGACATTTTGCTGTATTATATTTTAATTAATGACAACATCATTGTTAATTGAGCTGTCAAAATATAATCGACTTAATCATGCCTTTTTCAATACTTTTAAATAGACAAGACAATTTTAAATTAGTTACGGGATGAATAAATCACATTGACGAGACAATATGACAGGTGTATACGTAGTACAAGCACCTTCAAGAAATCGGTGTGATTTGTATTCTAAATTTATGCATACAAGTTAATCAAAATTTTGAAATTAATTTCGAATCACAAAAATTGAATTCGACTATCAGATCAAATAAAGTGACAATCCGACATTAAATTTACGCATTTAAACTATGCGAGCAATTTGATATATGCTGAATTTTTCCATAAGTGAGGTATTAACTTATAGTGCATTTTCAATTTTTTCGTTGAAAAGTGAAAAAAAAAATCAATTTGCGTGTTGATACTAATTAAAAGAATGGCATATATTGTTAAAAAAATTATTATTATTTTTTAGTTTCACGAAATCACCGTCAAAGGGTTCTTATTCAAATTATCTCCGAATATCTTATTGCCACCAACCGGACGAACGACCTTGTCCAGCCCAAGCAGCATTGGCGCCACTATCATAACCAGCACCACCAACAGAATTACCAGCCCATCCACCAGCACCGGCTCCATAACCACCATACGATGGCTTATTTACACCATGATGAATGGTATATTCATAATCAGCTGGAATCGGACTACCAGCCCAGGCACCCCATCCATAGCCGCCGCTGCCACCAGGATTACCAAATTTCCGCGAGACATGAGAAACTCCGCCGTGAGATGTGCCAAATTTAACCGAGGTAGAATCCACACCATAGCCGCCGGCACTGACCACAGCCAACGATACCAAAATGCAAATGCAGACCTATGAAATAAATGAATCACTTGTTATTTTTTCTATTGGCTTAAAAATATATTAATTTTTCAAATTTTACCTTCATATTTGGAAAATGTTAAAGTGACTTAGTGAATTGTACTACACAAAATGACCTGAAGCGTTGGAATACTTTATGACTTGGAAAATGTATGAATATATAGTCAAAATTTTGGCTCATTGCAAAATGCCAGTATGAAGATGATGGATTTCTGTCAAAAGGGTTCTTTCATAATTGTTGTTGTTTTCTTGATCCATTTGTGATGGTGGCAGATCATTACCGTATTTCAACCATTTAAACGATATATTTGTCATTTTTTTAGTAATTTTTCAAAATGCGCATTCATTTGTATATACATATCTATGTTTTTTTTCGATAATGATTGATTATGTTTCATGCTGCAGTACTATGTACAGCAGCTGGTCAAACTAAATTATAACAATTTCTGCTAGTAATTGAAAAATTGTCGTGTGGAGAAACCTTCAAATGCATCATGTCATTTAAAGCATAATATGAAGCCGATTTCATCTGATGCTGATGCAAATATCAAAATGTACCACATTAACACATTATTGATCAGATATTATTTTCTGGCCTACTATCTCTTAAATAACGGTCGAGCTCACAGTTTTTAAAATAGAACTTTCAAAATGTACTCCTATGAGATTTGACATTGAAAATGGGGTATTCATAACGGTGCCTAGCTCCCACGACGCCATCCAAAGTTCCTGTCCCCATATGAAAGTCTCGATAAATGTTAAAAACTTAGAGGGTATAAAGAGTTAGGCCGATCAAATTTAATGGCGTACTTTGTAAAAACGAATATTTAAATTTTAAATACTGCTACAATGCAGTTTAGACACTGTTTTAGGTACTCAATTGCCCAAGCATTCCTCTTGGCCAGCCAACGTCATTGCCGATCTTAACACATTTATATATTTTCTCAATTCAAAACAATTACTTGCCAGAGATTAAGTTATATTTACTTCAGTACACTGTACAAAATTGTGTGACAATCGGACAAACTTTGAGTCTTTGGTGCACAGTTTACATAAAATCGGACGAAAATATATATGGGAGCTACATCTAATTTAGAACTGATTTTCACGAAACTTAGCACACGTCATTCTAGACTTAATCCAGTACCCTATGCCAAATTTGGTGGAAATCGAAAGATATATAGGAACTATGATGCATCATTTACATTAAATCGGACGAAAATATATATGGGAGCTATATATATATCTGAACCGATTTTCACGAAACTTAGCCCACATCATTCTAGATTTGATTTAGTAGGCTATGCTAAATTTCGTGCAAATTGAAAGATATATGGTGACTATGATGCATCATTTACATTAAATCGGACGAAAATATATATAGGAGCTATATCAAAATCTGAACCGATTTTCAGGGAATTTAACACACATTATTTTAGACCTAATTGAGTACGCCATGCCAAATTTTGTGCAAATCGAAAGATATGTAGGGACTTTGGTGAAACATTTACATTAAATCGGGCGAAAATATATATGGAAGCTATATCTAAATCTAAACCGATTTTTCCAAATTTCAATTTCGTCCTTGGAACTAACGCCAAATTTCATCCAATTCGTATTATAAATGTGAACTGTGCTTTGTTTACAATTTAACATGGACAGACGGATGGATATACATACATCGACTCTATGTATATGTATTCTTTGTTTATTCTCATAAGGAACCATGGGTATGTCGTTTCCTTTTGCCTGTTACAAACATAGGCACAACGACATAATACCATACCAGAGTGTGGTGAAGGGTATAAATATTAAAAAACAGATCTATAATTTTTAAGTTAAATAACAATTTTGGCAGAATTTTTTCACATCTCCAACTCATTTTGGAGGTGGCCACGCGAAGCTTCGCAACGTAAATGCTTAATTATAAGGTAATCTTAAACCAGTGAGTGGATGTGTATAGTCGATCGGGGCCGACCATATAATACCCTACCACTGAGTCCTAGGGTTTTGCGGATCTATATCCAGGGCCTAGGTAATATTTCGCTTTATTTGCAATCTCTTGGCCGATTTAAGGTCAACTCGTCCCGTGCGGCATCTTTTTGGAAGAAGTCTAAAGTTTTGTTATAATACACAAAAAACTTTTGGTTCATTTGATACTTTAAATATTGACCGCATAAAAAGTTTTCGGAACATTGCATCCCAAAATATCATCTGATTCACATCGAACATTATAGGTATCGTTCTTCTTCCTATCCAACAGCGCTACATTTCCGCCCTCTTTTGTGGATTGGTTCATAAATGTAGCCTTGTTTAGCCTTGATCGACTCAGCTAGTCAAGATATGATCAGTGTTCAAAATGATGAGTAGAGTTGGGTAGTTCCGGAACGAACTAGTTCATTGGAAATATTCCGAGAAAGGAAGGATCGGAACTAGTTCCAACTCTTTGATTAATATAGTTCCTTTTTCTGATCTCGTTCCTTTTTATACCCTCCACTAACTCATCGAAATATTCATTTCCGACCCTATAAAGTATATATATCTATATATATAAAAATGAATTGCTGTTCGTTAGTCTCACTAAAACTCGAGAACGGCTGAACGGATTTTTCTGATCTTAGTCTTGAAATGTTCGTGGAGCTTCAGGGAAGGTTTAAAAGGTGAGAAAAATTCAAAAACCGCGAAAAATTTGCAAAAAAAAATATTATGAAAAAAAAATATTTTGAAAACAAATATTCATTTGTCAAATATTGAAAATTTTCAAAATATTTTATTTTATTCAATTGACATTGTAATGAAACTTTTTTTCTGAGAATGCAAAACAATAATAGAGAAGTATACGCGATCATTGTATGTGCACGTCCTCCATGAAATTCACGTACATTTTGGGACAAATGCAAAGATGAAAATCTGAAGATTCAGAAAAGAGTTCCGATTCTAAGACACATGCCCTAGATTATTCTTCTTGAAAATAATAATAATAGGAACATAGGAACATGTTGTTATTGAAGTACCTAAAATGTACCATTATATGGTGGTTATATGCCTAATCGTTGGTCAATGTCTTTAATCGCATATGTGTATCACAGAGAAAATTAAGTTCATATTGAAAGAGAACAACTATAAAAAGCATTTGTTATAACAAAGAGTCTCATGATGTTACATCAATATATCAACTACCGATATATTTAATACCATGAAAAATCGTTGTTAAGATCGAACTTTTGTACTTTCTAATATGTAGATTCTTTAAATCGGCCGGGACATTTATATGGGGACTATGTTACACAGTACGTGTAGTAGATTGGAGAACTTCAACATACTGAAAATTAAACGAGAAATATGTATGGCGCCTTTTTATTACATTAAGCCAAATCCATGATCCATCCATTCCGTCAAATTCTTTACAAAACCGAAATTGGTGCGGGACCCGTATGTAGGAGCTATACAAAATTTGGTCCAGAATAGAAATGTTTCCGCAAATGTGTTTTACCCTTTCAATATCACGGAATGATATATGATATGAATGACATACGATACTACAATGGGTATGGATATATACTAATACCACATGAGAAAATACCGAACAATAAGAGTATATCATTATATGTATATCAATATATGGGGCTACCCGGACCAATTTGCACCAATGTTGATAATTTTTTGTAAACAGGTTTTCTTCATCCAAAATAAAACATTACAGCACTTCGGCTGAAGCACTCCCTAAAATACCGAACTCCTCAAAGTACCGAATATTGTGGGTAACTCAAAGATTTAACCAATATTGACAATTTCAGTACGATTCATTCTACCAAATATACAACCAAACTGGCCAAATCCCCCACAGTATCGAAAAAGGTGGATTACTATTACATGGGGGATATTTGAAAGCTTGGGCGAACATAACATTGCAACCAAATACCGAATATTAAGGGATGCCGTTAGATGGGGATATCCGAATACTTGAGTCAATATGGAAAATTCTAATTAGGGAGAATTTCTGCCCAATAAGTATCCCTAATATTAGGTTTGGGAAAAAGAAATCCATTAGACCGGTGGAACGATCGAATTTTACAGGCATGTTAGCAGTCGTAACATCGTCCAGGAGCTAAAAATTAAACCATTCACACAAAGCTGGATTCAAAAATAAGCTCAATGGTTGGGTGCCTCACCAATACCAATACCGCAATTTCAGAGCACTATCTTAAAGATAATTTAATATTGGGCTATCGTTATGTGAATTATACATCAACAATATTGCTATGCAAGACAACGTTTGCCGGGCCGGCAATGTTGAATGTTGAAGTGTTCGTGGATCTTCAGGGAAGGTTTAAAAGGTGAGAAAAATTTGAAAATCGCGAATTTAGTATCGAGCTATATTGATAGCACCACGACGTAGTTGTTATTTTGAGCGAAAATTGGTAGCGTATCATTCCGTTAAGCCTACATTTGTCATTTATTAAAATTTTTCAAAAATATTATATTTTTTTTTTAATTGGATTGACATTGTATTGAAAAATTTTTTTGGGAGAATACAAAAAATAATTGAGAAGTATATTATTGAATGCACACGCGACCATTGTATGTACACGTTTTCCATAGAATACAGGTACATTTTGGGACCAATGCAAGGATGGAAAATCAGAAGACATTCTGAATCGAGTTCGTGGCCATTCAGGATATTCGGATTCTAAGATCCATGCCCTAGATTAATATGTTTGAAAATAATAATATGAACATGTTGTTCCGTAAAGTAAATGAAATATTGATATGCAACGGGAAATATGAAATCAGGTGGTTAAATGCCTAATCGTTTTTCAATATCTTTGAACTTATAAACAGACCACGTCGCATATATTCCATACCAAAAATGTGTATGACAGAGAAAACTAATATACGAGATATTTTCTTTGCAAAAATCTATCATTAAGTTCAGCTGTAAAGAGAACAACCGACAAAAAACCAGCAAAATTAGAAAAATAGCATAATATCTAATTTGATGGTTGCACCAAAACCTCCATCCGTATTGAACATGCCAACTACCGATAACACTCAGATTGGAAAACG